ACGTCATCTCACACCTGGTAGCACTCAGTTTCACTACTATTTTCAAACATTACGTAATTACCTAAAAAATGGTTCAGAGTTTATCAGCAACATAATCATTTGACAAGCAAGTTACTGCAAGTAATTAAGTTATACCTATGACTATTGTTGTTGATTCATTCGTTTTTGCTTGTTTTGCTTCTGTTGTACGTCGATGTACTTTCGTTGTAGGTTGATTTACTTTCGTTGTAGGTCGATTTACTTTCGTTGTGGGTTGATTTACTTTCGTTGTAGCTCGATTTACTTTCGTTGTAGGTTGATTTACTTTCGTTGTAGGTTGATTTACTTTCGTTGGAGTTTGATGTACTTTCGTTGTAGGTTGATTTACTTTCGTTGTAGGTTGATGTACTTTTGTTGTAGGTTGATTTACTTTCGTTGCAGGTTGATGTACTTTCGTTGTAGGTTGATTTACTTTCGTTGTAGATTGATTCATTTTCATGGTTTCTATAGTAGGTTCAGTGCGTGAAGAAATTGACGTTATAATACCTGCGAGATAAAACCAAGTTCTTTTAGGTTGGGAAAAATACCATTTAGCCGGGTTAAGACACTCGTATCAACACTAGGTTAAAGTTTAACCGTTATTGCCATATCCTGCTAACGTATATCCTTTAGCTGGATGCAACGTCGAAAAATTTTTTTTTAGTAAAATCTGTATTTTAAACCGTATATTTTCACCCCATTCAGAAAGAAATAAAGAAAACAAGGGTTCGTTAAATGTCTGAATGTTGATTAGGCGGTTTTATTATAAGGCAAGCGTCAAATGGAGCTCAGTGATTGGCTGAGAAGAAGTTTTAGCGGTCCATTACGGGAAAGCAATGGACTGGCACTTTCCCGTAATAGACCGGCGTTACCGATCCAATTCAACATGAAAAACAGAGAAATTCTGAGTTAAAAATAAACAAATAAATGCTCAAGAAAAAATTTAATTGCTTTTGTAGAGATTAGGTAAACTAAATAATTCAATATTTTGTTTTTGTTTTCATCAAATGTAAAGTAAATGAAAGCGATGCGAAATTGCTTAGAAAATATTGAAACGAGAACTGCATGTTGACTACCGCTATCAATGCAACGACGACGATTTAAATTTTTCACCCTTTGTATATGAATAACACCAGGTGCATGATAACTCAGTTTTGTTTGAAAATTTTGAATCTCTAGGAATCTCGCCAGTAATCAAGGTCGTCGTTAGAAGCTTAATTGGGGATAAGAGATAATACACATATATTCATGTTCCAATTAGCCATTTCCCAATCGAGCAGCGTACTGGGTCTATTCGCGAACCGCAAAGCATCTATGGACTGTTTGGAGGGACAAATGTAATCATTTGTAATTATTTATCCCTCAAAACAGGCCATAGATGCTTTGCGGTTCGCGACTATACCCAGTACCCTGCTCGATTAGGAAATGGCTAATAAGCGTAGAAAGTTGCTATCAATTAAAAGAAGTCAGTTTGCAGAGTCGGGTATATAGGACAAATATATGAACAGTCCCCAATTAAGTAGGCTGTGTCTACCAATTAAGCTTCTAGCAGTAATTCCAGATTTCCAGCAAATTGGAATTTATTTACTGAAGAGCTCCTAATTCCTAATTTTGATTACCTTTGATAACGACAACCACTTTTAGAATTTGTATAGGATATCCATAGTGTGGTTGAAGTCTCTCTTTTTTGTACAATAGAGCAAAAAATGTGCCATTGGAAGTTAGTGTAGCGTTATATACCGTAAATGTCAACCTGCCACTATTTCCGAATGAGCCAGTAACATGGATATCCATGGTACGATCATATATTTCGTAGAACCATTCATAAAACTCAACAAGTTCAACTTTATCTTTATATGCATTAGGATAAATTGAAAAATACCAATACACACTTTCGATTTCGTCAAGTGGTGTGCATGTATATGAAATGTTGATCGTAAAGTTTGATCCGACTTGAACACTTATATCATAGTCGTCTTTTGGGCTTGTAATGTTGCAAGCCTGACCTAGAAATGAACAGTTGATTGATATCAAGTTGAAAAAAGATGCACCTGCAGGGGTGCATGTATAGCCAGAATGTCAATGGGGCTCTCTGATATACTTCAACAGCAGGGTGAATTAGAAGGAAATTCAAACTTTGCTCTGAACAGTTTTAAAAATTTAACATAACTTTTTGAATTATAACAAGGGGCAAAGCCCCTGCACTTTTAGGCCCCTTCAATCTTAACAGGGGCTCTGTGAGCTTCTATTCAACACAGTGGCGGATTCAGGGGAAGTCAGAATAAGTCACAGGGCCTAATAATGAGTCACAGGGCCTAATTTCCAATAAAAAAAACTAGCGTAATAACAGCGCTATTGGTTCTTTCTATAGAATATTTTTACATAAAAATCTACCAATATGATTTCGAGTTGAAGCTGTGGTCATTTATTCTGATTTACCCTGATTTGACAACTGATTCAACATGCCTCTAACTATAATAGACGTCTAATGTTTTCCACTCTCGTAAAGTCTGTTTGCCATTAAATTAGCGAGTTTAAGATGCACCAAATCTCCGACGCGGAGGTGACATGAAAACTGCTACTATAGTGTTAGGAAACCAGTATTAATTTGTTTCACAGTACGGCTCTGACTTTGTTTATCAAAAAGAGTCTATAATTTTCATCGCTGATGGGAAACTGTGGAAATTCATTGGAGCAGAAGCAGTATTACTTCACGTCCGCGTCATAGATTTGGTGCATCTTAAACTCACTATTGTAGTATTAGTTTTATTACCCCGCGCGGCCTTTGAAATTCTGCTTATGCGACCGTGATTAATTAGGGTTGTTTCAGTATGTCACAAGTACAAATGTCTTTTAACTTACTTATAATCAACTCTTACAATAAAGAAAGGGCTGTTTAGCCTCTACGACTACGTCCCCCGGCTCATTTCCACACTCGTACTTGCTGAAGCATCGCTGAATTTTTTGACAGCCGTGATCGAACCACACTAAATCGAATTTAAGATATTTACATGCAGGAAAGGAAATATGCACGTTACCGTATACTTCACTGATAGCCGAAAGAAAGATTACCAATTGTCTGACATGTCTTGATAGGAAAATCGACGTCATGTCTGAATTCGCAAAAACGGAATAGAAACATGGAATGAATAAATCGTAAAAATATATAACACTTTCAGTTTTTTTTAGCTTTTCAGTGTGGGGAACAATTAACGCACGCAAGTACAGTATCTTGCTAAATCTCACCTTAAGATGAAGTTCCTGTCAGTCCTTCGATTAAGCTGCTAAATCTAAGAATTTTAAATCTTGATTGAAATACAAGCGCTCCTTCAATATTCAACCCTTCGTAACAGGCGTGACTAGCTGCAAAGATTGAAAACCATATAGTAATTCATGTTCGTCGACAACATCTGTTAATTACACTGTTACAAATTCGACTCCAGTTTTCACTTAACAAAACGTTACACTTTCCAAACCCCTTCGACAATAATGCAATCACCCCAACGCGATAAGATATTCATTCATCAGACATTGATCGAAGGATTTGTCACTTTTATAAACAGTTCTGTCCAGGATTAACCGACTGCCTCAAATGCATCTGGTTGATTCAGCCTGTTAAACCATATATATGTTTGTTTATATTATTTCCAAAATTCAAACTGCCCAATCAAAAAAAATCATTTGTACCATGTGACGAGGATATTTTTCGCGGTATCATATCCCAGTTCCCTATTTACTGTATGTTTGGCTATTCTTGTGTACTGTATTTACTGTATGTTTGGCTATTGTACAGGACTACAAGCTCACAATACTTTTTCGGTATAATATATCATTTATAGACCTGGAGTGAGGGGCCGGGGATTCGGCGAAATATATCCCTAAGTGTTGATATTTTCTGAGGCCTGAGGGCTTTGCCCATAGCAGACCTGTCAACCTAAAAAAAGTAATACAGGGAGAATATGCTGCTGACCACTTTAAAAACCTGGAGATCTCCTAAAAATCAGGGAGATTTTCTCAACACTGGAAAAGCAAAATTTCTAGATATATCTGTTGCTGCAGCCAAGAAAGTTTTGCTCAAACTCATAATAATATCTCAATACATATATTGTTAACTTTCGACACTATGTACAATAAAAAGGTAAAAAGATAAAAAGGCGATTAAAAGTACTAGTTTCGTCCTCCGGACCTTTTCAACAAATCGCCATATACCGCGTGAAAACGCTCAGGTTGATGCAAGTTGATATAAACAGGATGGAGCAATGTTGTGCTGCCCACATTGTTCAGAGTTGTTATTAATATTGAACAATATTGTTACACCCGATTCAGTTTCAACAATATTGTTCATTATCATTCACTTTATAGTATTCTCAATTTTGATTGGTTAATTTACCTGCAGTTAACTGCGTGCAAATAATACTCAGCTGCAAATAATACTCTGAGCATGCGCATTAATGTCAATTTTATAAACAATGGCGACTCGCTTTGGCGAACTGTTCGATAAAACGAACTCAAAATTGAAAATTGTGTGGTGAATGAATTGAAAATTAAGTGGTGAATGATAAAACAATTATTGAACTCGGTTCTCGCAAAATATCGTGATTTGTCGGTGGCTCGCAGATCAATTATTTGCCTCTGCCTTCGGCATCGGCAAATAATTGATCTGCTCGCCACCGACAAATCACGATATTTTGCTCGACCTCGTCCAATAATTGATAAATGTTGATAACAACTCTGAACAATGTGGGCAGCACAACGTTGCTCCATCCTGTTTATTATCAACTTGCATCAACCTGAGCGTTTTTAGGCGTGTCAGGGCGCATATAAGATATATATCTTATATGCGCCCTGGGCGTGTAAACAAATGTTAAAAACTTAAAAAACTTCATGTAATACAAATATATTATCCATCTACTGTTGAAACTTCATGTAATAACATGATCAATCTACTGTCACGATAGCACGGGGAATTTTCACATAATTCCATTCATTCTTTGTGTTCATTAGTTCACTTTGCTTTACTCTGTTGATGTTTACTGCTTCTGTAACCTGTCTTAACATTGCATCGTCACGGAAAATGCCAGTAACATTCATTATAAAGAGTGGTATATCGCCTCCATGCTTCTCATTTGCATGTCTCCCGGCACATGACAGACTGTTCTTCACGACGATTCAAGGAGTGTAAATGCTCTTTGCCACGACTATATGCACTTCTTGACGTTTCTCTCACATATATGTGTTTGCATTCCTGGCAAACAAGTTCGTACGTGACTCCAGTGGCACCACATTCTCCTTTCCTATTACTTTGGCAAGCCAAACACTCTCTTCTTTGACATCGTTTCTCCCGGAAAGGGTTAGATCGTTGTAGTCGTTGTTTAAGTGTTACTCCAGATTGTTCTACTATCTTGATGTTAAGTCCCACACATTTAACTTCTTCTTCATATCGTTGTTTAAGGGCAGATCTTGGTGTTGCTGGTATAAAAATAACACTGTCATATCCTCCCTTCTTATACCAGGTGTCTCGTTTCTTACGTTTTTCTTCGGCTCGATCAACCTGTCGCCACTCTCTAGTCCTATACATGGGCCTCTTTTCACAGCTGTCTAACTTCTTGATGTTATCATATGCCTTTAAAGCTGACTTTACTACCTCCATTCTAGATTTCGCATCATAACCAGAAAACTGTAGACGTATCATCATATTGTTCACATGATCAACAACCACTTCCTATGGTAACCGCGTACTACAGTTCAGTAGAATTCTCAATACTTCTTGTGTAAGTATTGTTCTCTTACTACTCCATGGTAGGGCTGATTTCGCATTAACAACGGACTTGGACGCTACATCTTTGGCGTAAAATTCATGTAATATAACTTTTTCAGTCTGTTGTCCTTCATTCCCTTCTCTCTCCTCAATCCAAACTTTTAAGTCAAGTATGGGAAGTTTGTGGTCATTATGGCGTGATGGGCAATCAATTTCCATCTCAATAGATGGGTGAATGCTGTTGGCAATAGATTTGAATAAACGCATCGCTCTTTCATCCGCCTCTATGGACCGATCTGCTTCGGCAGCAACTTGATCTTTAACCAGTTTATCACCATTAAACCTCAATCCCAACTGGGGCACACCCATTATAGAGTTTACATCTGCCCTTAAACAACGATATGAAGAAGAAGTTAAACGTGTTGGACTAAACATCAAGATAGTAGAACAATCTGGAGTAACACTTAAACAACGACTACTACGATCTAACCCTTTCCGGGAGAAGCGATGTCGAAGACGAGAGTCTTCTGCGATTTATTAACAGCCGATAGGAAAATGAGACGTATTTTGTTTACAGATTTCAGTTTAAACAAACGACTACGAAACTTTTATATAGCTTGTATGACTGGTATGCAAATACCCTCTGGGCTGGGGATTTAGACTAAGGTCAGGTAAAGAAAACTTTCGTGGTGGAACCCTTAGCTCAATTCATTCTTTGACAACGTGTCGCGATTTTTGCGAATCTGCAAATCGAATATCATCCCTACGAGGGTGTCTCTTTTAGCCATGCATGCGGACCAAATAAATCAGGATGCACCCCGTCAAACGTCAAGTATTTCGATTACTTTTATCATCAAGCTCTCAAACTCTGAGAAATCTAATTAAAGGATAAAATCCTATTTGCAAGAGCTATACTTTACATACTATCCTTAATACTGAACATTCGTTTGAAAACTTGTCTGAACGACCGTTGTTGGTATGCATACAAATATGGATTGACTGCACAACTTAAATAACCGATCGTAAGGAGGAAATACTGTGCTGACGAGCTTAAATGACCAGACAAATCGGGATGCAACTCGTCAAGTATTTTTTTATTTACCACATGAGGCCATTTTTATCATCCAGCTTCTAAAAACTGCTAAATCTACTTGAGGATAAAATTATTTAGTCTGTACTATAGTATTAAAATCACAGTTACAAGTCTGTACCTTATATAGAGCCTACTTTCCTTTAATACCGAACATTCGTTTGAAAACTTGTCTGAACGACCGTTGTTGGTATGCATACAAATACGGATTGACTGCACAACTTAAATAACCGATCGCAAGGAGGAAGTACTGTGCTGACGAGCTTAATAACTTGTGCTCGCAGCCATCACACAGATTATACACCAGGCCAACCGCGCTGAAGGGATACCAACATAAGAGTTGAACCAACACGATCACTGAAAAATGTCTGGCGACTTTAGTTTGGTACTTTTGCTTCATTCTGAAATCATCTTGCCCCATTCTCTTCACTCTTTCATTCCTTCTGTCATCTTCATCATTTTTTCTCTTTTTATCACATTTCGCTCCATTTCTATTTGTAGTCCATACTTTTAAATAATTTTCTTCATCATTTTTTCCAATTTTACGTTTCATCTTTTCATGCCATTTTCTTTCTTTCTCTTTTCCTCTGTTGTTCTCGTTTAGCAAATTTTCTTCTTCGTTATTCTGGTTAGATCTGTCCTTGTCACATCCCTTTATAATTTTTTCATCTGCATTTCCAAATTGACCAACTTTGGCTCCGTTGTTTTCCTTCTTGTATTTGTGGCTAATTCGGTTTCGTTCTGTTGCTTTTCCTGTCCGATTTCTCTCGTGAGCGTTTTTATAGAAATCTCGTTGGTTTTGTGCAGTTTTGCTGTCGCCGTATCTTTTGTTTTCTTCTATTCCCGTATTGATTACATCTTTTGTTTCTCCATTGTTCGTTTCCGGTAATCTTCTTCATTTATTCCAGTTTCAGTCATATCATTCTTACAATTTCTGTCCTTATAAAATTCCACTTTAATTTCCGGTATTTCTTTAGCCTTTGAGACCCGGACATTTTGGATAATATTTTTTTCACTTTTATTTATTTCACTTCTATTTTGTCCAATCCATTTCATTTTAAAGTCATCAAAAACATGTCTCCTGTTGGTATAATAATATACATTCTCACGTGTAGCGTTGCCATGACGACCGACGAAGAATGAACGCAATAATGGTGACAGCTGCTGAATAGCTTGGCGACATGTCAAAGTAGCAGAAGTACACATCCGGGCAATTGGGGGAAGATCACGTGACAATGTCTCATTTAGAGGAGGTCCAGTTATAACTGGTAGCAAAGCCATGAAGACACTCAATCCCCATACACCAGTGATTAAGCACACTGCTTTGGTGCGGGTTAAAGTCATTCCAGCGCGATACTTTAAAGGATTTGATATGGCTTGATAACGGTCAATACTTACGACACACAAAGTTAATATGGATGTTGGTACTGATACAGTATAAGCATTGGTCCAAATTTTGCACATCGCTATTCCATGTGTCCAACTACTAATTCCATTAATCTTTATGTCCACGTCAAATGGTATCACTAAGCTGGCTGTGATAATATCCGACAGCGTTAAATTCATCAGGAAATAGTTGTTCACCATTCTTAGTTTCGGTGTGGTGAGAAACGCGTACAATATCATGATATTACCCGTTAAGGAGATGACTATTATCAGGATCATAACGACCCCGGTGAATATGTCGAAAGATGACGGGGTTGAAATTGAAAGTGAAAGGAATCGTTACAGCTGATTTCGAACCGTTGTATTGTTTGAAGACGTCGTGGATATTCATACATCTAAAAGAAAGAGAGAAATTATCTGTGATTGAAAGTCCTTACACCTAATTCAATGGATAAATGCTTTCAATGTTTTCAATGTTTTCAAAGTTATGTATATATATCACGAGGTGTGAATGTACCTATGATATACCAAATATTATACTAAAAAACAAATGTATTCCGATATGCATATTTATATATTCATTGTAGAAATATAAGAGTTAAATCTGCCTAAATAAACCTTCAGCACCTTGTGAATACCATCATTCAGCAATAGCTTTGTCCAAACAAAGTCCGGGTTATTGTGTGTTTTTGGCGCTGGATATAAATCCAGGGGCGTGGAT